GATAAAATGTAGATTATAATCTCTTGCTATCTAAGAGTGATGAATCCTCTATCGATCATTCACAACCTTCATATGATTCTTGAAATACCCATATGATGCTGTATTAGTGACTCTTGGCAAAGCAACATCCAACAATATCAAAGTATGACTGTCCCCATATAAGGTACTATGATGACCTCAAGTCAAATGATCAATTCCACTACCGAACGTTAGAGATTAACCACAAACACTCAGATAGTTATCCATGTGGAATCTCCCAGGGAGTCTCCAATATTTTATTCTATAACAAAATATCTACGTGTTTATTCAAGTGTTACCACACTTTAACTTGTGAGATCAGCTACTTACATCACAAGTAAGAATGCCACACGCGATAGTCTATCCGTAATAACGATATCCGTATCTCGTTATTACTTCGACCACGGACGATTTAAGATTCAATCATATGTAATTTGTATCTCACAATCACAACTCCTTGNACACGCAATGGTCTATCCGTAATAATGATATACATATCTCGTTATTATTTCGACCACGGACGATTTAAGATTCAGTCATATATAATTTGTATCTCACAATTACAACTCCTTGTGATTAACAAATCACCAAGACTTGAATTTACGGATTCTATTATTTAATTTACTAGAATATTAATTCAATTAAATAATAGATATTGCAATACATATACAACGATTATATATATATTCAAAGTGTTTATGTCCAAAGTTGATTGGACAGGGCATAACACTCACAAAAATCTTAAGTAGATTAGGGGAAAAGGGTAAAACTGGAGTCTCATTATCAAAAGATTTGATGGCAACTGCAGGAAAGGCATTAAAAGCAAACATCACAACATTAGGTCCACTTGTTCTTCCAATCAGTGAACAATTCCTCTATTTATAACCCTAATTGCACGAAAATTTTTCAATCCCAAAATTAAACCCTACATACCTGGTTTCAAACTCGCCTTCGATCATTTATGCATACATACTGGCGGGCAAACAATGATTGATGAACTGGAGAAGAATTTGCAGCTCGATCCAGTTCACGTGGAGGCTTCTCGAATGACTCTACACAGATTTGGTAATACTTCATCGAGTTCGATTTGGTATGAATTGGCGTATATTGAGGCAAAATGGAGGATTCGAAGAGGGCATCGGATTTGGCAAACGTTTGCAGGTTGAAATCTTAAGTAGATCAGTGTGACAACACCCTCGACGTTGGAGTTGCCCTTGAGGACCACAACGGCCTTCTTGGTGTGGAGACGACAATGGCAAGGGCGAAGAAGGACATGTATTCTGGTCGGCAAAGGTAGAGAAGGACATGTATAGGTAGGCAGTGACAACTTTGAGTGAGAGGCCGTAAAGGAAGAAGTAAGTAGGTGTCTGCGGAAATGGTGAGATTAAGGCCCTGTTTGTTTCTGAATCTCAA